GCAGATCAGGTATTCTTATGGTTTCATTTTGATGCCATATCCCAGATCCTGGCACTTTAAAGGATCCTTCCATCTCCATTCCTGTTTTTCAAGGGCTTAGCTAGGCTTCCAAAATCAAGACAAGAGAAGGAGTGCCTGTTTTCCTGTGATCCCTCTTCTCCTCCCTTCTTCAAGGACTTCAAGAATTTGCACAAGAAGCCATTTCCAATATTTCACTGCAAACCAGAGATTTCATTGTCTGGGGACTGCACATTAAAAAGTGCTCTTGGCTTTGAAGTTTTTGTTTAATGGCTCTAAACTGAAAGAAAATGTTTTCCTATTACTTAATTCAATCATAGCAAAGAGGCTTGGTAAAAAGCCCATGGATTTTGGCCAAAGTGTGACAGAGTTCCCTTTGTGTTTGCTTATCCTCTGCTGTCACACAGTTTAATTCGCCTCCCTTTATCTGGCATTCAAAACTTTTTTCAGTGACATTCAATAAAGTCCAGCGGCTGGAGGGAGCGAGCACAAGGGGGGACTGGTTATTCTCCCCTTCATATTCTTCCCAATAGCTTTGGGCTTGGTCTGCATTCAGAAGGGTTAACTCCTTCCCTCCTGAAGCTAATAGATTGTGGTTCCATCCTGAAAGTACAGCAATACTTTAGGATGTCCTTCTAGAAAGGTTGATTGTCTAAGAGGAATAGCTCATTCAACTAAAACTCATAGGCTTGATTCAAAAGGGTTTCCCCAACTGAGCACCTTACAGATGTGTTCCTGTTTTATACCTCCCTTTACCCTCAACTAATATGGAAAAAAAACTTGGATGAGATGCATATTGTTGTCTACCAATATATCTGGAAGACAACAGTGGGAGAAAGCTGTATAGAACAAAACCAAACTTTCTCTTCATTCCAACCACTCATCACCAGGAAGTTTTGGTGCTAAGGCAGCCTTTTCCATTCAATAGTCATGTGGTACTTAGAAAAAAAAAATCTCTACATGGCCTTATTTTTCTGGCCCAACTTTGTCTTTACAGAAAAAGGAAAGTGAAAAGTGCAGTTCTTGAATTCAGATGTATTTATTTTAAAAGTTAAGTTCACCATAATTTCTGGAACTTATTTCCAAAAAAAAAGTGTGTTTCAGTTCTGTATGAAGTTCTGGGAAAATTGCATTTACATTTCTGTAGTGGTCTAAGTCCAAAATAAAAGCAAGCAGGCATCTACACATAAAAAAAACCCAACAACATAAAATTGCAAAGCATGTCTCCTTACTTGAGGATTCTAAAAAAGGAGAGGCACTGACTAGGAACTGTAATTGATCAGATCATTTTTGAATAGATTTTGCATCAGACTGCGTTCAGCTAAAGTTGTGTGATTCTGATTTAACAGTTTGTCTCAGGGATATAGAGTGTGCCTATGGACTAATAATTGTACACTCAACTTTGTTATATGGTGATTTCAGTCTAGGTGCAAAACTCAATCCCACATCTTTCTAACCCCCTTAATAAATCTCACTGCCCATTGGTATTTCTGTCATCTTTCCCATTTTTTCCTTTAAAGCAGTGGGTCCAGTACAGCAATGCTACACCTTAAATCTCATTGATTTCAGTGGGAAATACTCAACTAGATAACTAATTTTCCTCTGGAAAGGGCTGTTATTCAAAATCGCTGAATGATGGCCACTGACACTTTACAACACTCTCTGTTAAAACTGGCACATTGGAGAGTTGGCAATTTTAAACAGCAAAGATAAGAGAAGGCAGATGAAAGAATCGGAAAAAGGCTTTAATTCAATTTCTCTTGGCTTTGAACAGGGATAAGTGCATTTTCTCCATTCATGTTGTGTCTCCTGTTATATGTGGATTTGATTTAATGTCCAAATATACCTAAAAGCTTGCTCCAAAACATATTGCAGTTATTATGTTTGGGGATACTCATATATAATGATCAATTCAGACTTGCCTAGAAAAAAGAAATTATTTTTTTTAATGGATTTCCATCCTTCTGCCCGTTAGATTTAGTTTAGGAAGCAGTTGCTGTAGGATTCTAACAGTCCCTTCAGTTTCTCAAGACTCAGACATCTGGTGGATGGAATGTTCTCTTTCATATCTCTGAATCAGGGCATACATAAGCATCCTTACACATTCAGGGGGTCGTCTAATATATTGAGGCCCCCATGGTAGCAATGACCAATGGTACACAAATAATACATGCAATATCCATGTCAGGTTTTTTTCCCCCCCCAAAACAGATCTGCATCTAAATGCTGTATAATTCCTACATGATGAACAATATCTCCCTGGCCCTTTTTCATTGGTACGATATGCAGAAGAATCAGGTATGATTCTGAGTCTCTAGTAGATCATTTTATAAAATGATCTACCTTTTATTAGTCAGGACCTCCCAAAGTAGAGACCTGGAGAACAGGAGAGACAGACTAAAGCTTACTGATGGTTCATACTGCCAAGGTACTTCAGCCTCACTGCTTGATTCAGCTAAATAGACCAGCATTGTCAATTAGTGCATATAATAGTACGAGAGTCCTACCTCTTAGTCGTGGCTTTCATTTCCATAGTTTTAAAAAATACACACTGGAGATAACAATATTTGCATTTGTCTCTTAAAAATAAAATTGATCACCATACAAATTCGGTTCCTCGCCCCTCTTCTCTGAGATCTTACATTTGAATCTCCATAATTTGTAGTAACTGATATAAAAATAAATGATGGGAAGGGGAGAGGAGTATCTCTCTCCCTTTGCTCATTATTTGAAAATGCTTGCTGGAGTAGCATCTTTTTATTCTTGATTTGCAGAGAAGACATTCATTGCTGTTGAGTTACCGAGAAGTTGGACGATTTTATCTTATGCAAACTAAACCGTTTCAGAGACCTGATTCTGGAAATAGACGGAAAGGAGGGTATAGAGAGGCTGGACCGCATTGGGAAGCATCCTAACATTGCAATCCCTTTAATCAATCAAGGGGATTTTTTCCCCCTCAGGAAATGGAGGATTCCCACCAGAGGAGAAGGTGAGCACAGTTCTGTGGCAAAACTGTGGCTGTGGATTTCAGCGGACTAGCATCCCTTTCCTAAAATTGTTTTGTGTATTCCAGAGTTTTTGTGTTTTGAAGTAATGCTGCAAACCTTGTCCTCCCAAAATGTGACTATCTGGAAAGGAAGCCTTCTGAATTGGCTTCCTCTCTTTTAAAAAATTGAAATAGTGGTCCCTCCAAGGAGAAGCAGCACATTTTTAAAACTGTGGTGAACCTAGGTAGGACCATCCATATTTACATCAGCATTAACAGTGACAAAAGGATCTGAGAACGCTTGCAGAAGGTTTTATTTTTAAGCCATTCAGCTTCATTCCCAGTTAAATAATTTTGCTAAAATTGTGCCTTTTATTCTCTTGAACTTGTTCTTCTCCATTCTGTTTTAGATTCTATGGATTGTGAACTCATGAACTTATCTATTAATTAACATGTTGTTTACTATTTTGATAGGTATCTATTTTCCTACTGAATAACTTGCATAAACCTGAGTAGATAGGCAATAATAAAATGAACATTTGCAAGACAATTCCAAACAAATTACTACACGTTAAATGTGACAGTTATTTACATTGAATATGTTAAATATTAAATATGACATCAAAAAGTTAAAAATCAGAACACCGGGCTATGATCAGATCTTAATAACATTTATAGCCCATTCTACCATTTGGATTGAATTATGGCAGCTGGAATTCTACCCTCTCCCCAAGTATAAATGTTAAATGTAAGATGTTCACGAAAGTAAAATATCTCATTTACTTTCTGCTTTGATTTTCAAATTGTGATGCTATCTGTCAAAAAGCATCTGTCATGCTGCCCTCACTCAAATTTTTACTGTAAAATGTAGGTTGGAGATTTTGTTGATTATTAAATGGGTGAAACAAAATCAAGGCAGACTAATAAACACAAATTATTTCAGAGGACTAAAATACTAGGATTAGTTCAAAGTAAGTATGTTTCAATACAGATGCAATTTGAAAAAAAGAGATTAATAGGAAATCAAAGAGGATAGGGTTTTTATTTTCATATTTTTAAAGAACCTGTAATTTTAAGCATGGATATTGAAAATTAGCAGGGCTCAACCACAAATAAATAAACGTAGATCTCTCCAACTTTTTATAAAGGAATCGTCAACCAAATCTGCTATTTAACATCCACTTACTTGAAAATCAATTGCCAACAAAAGTGTTTAACATTCGAAATGGATGGATTTTATAACCAAGCAATGATAGTTATGTTCTGAAGACACAGGCTTTCATAGCAGCACATTCCATAGATTTGCCAAGTGCCTGTAGCATTGCTGGGAACGAAGACTCTTTGATTTAGCTGCAAGACCTGTTCACTTCTGCTCTCAACTCAGCATCTGATGAAAACGCTCTTCCTACCAGAGTCTATAAATATTTTTAACGTCGCAAGGTGTAACTCGGTGCTTGGGGGGGGGGGGGGGGGGAGGAGGGATGGTTTGCACCTGTCCAATCTTCACAACAGCACTTCCCAAGATTTGAGGCGCTTGGAAAACCCGCACCTCCACCGCAGAGGAAACGGTATGATGCGTCCAAGGAGCAAAGCGCAACAGGAGCTTGGAGACGAAGGAGCCAATGGATTAGCGGTGGGACGAGGGAGGAGGCGGAAAGAGAGGGGGGGGAGAGAACCAGGGAAGGCAGCCCAGAAACGTGGGTGGGGTTGACAAGAATGAGGGACATTGTGCAGCGCTTTTGGCGAACAAGGGGGCATAATGGGGGAGTGTGCAGCGGCGGTTCCAAAGCACGGCACAAAAAGCCTATTGACGGGGGCCGGCGCAGCTTTCATCACATGGCCCCCAAAGACGCTATTTAAACCGGGCCGCGCGGCCCTTTCAGCACCACTGGCGCTGGTCAGCGCCCTGCGAACAACTGCGCGGCCGAGAGGCGCTGAGAAGGCGAACCCCAGCCAGGCAGGCGAGGCCGAGGCCGAGGCTGGACGGGGCCGAGTCATGCCGCGGTCTTTTCTGGTGGACTCGCTGGTGCTGCGCGAAACCGGCGGCAGCGACAAGAAAGGCGGCGTCTCTCCCGGCAGCCCGCCGCCCCCGCCCCTCTTCCCTTATGCCGTGCACCCCTCGCATCCCCTGCACGGCCTTTCGGCTGCCTCCGGAGGCGCCTGTCCCGCCGCTCCCGTGTCCGCGTCGGCTGCGCGCAAAGCCGGCCTGCTCTGCGTCTGCCCGCTCTGCGTGGCCGCCGCTTCTCAGCTGCACCCGCCGCCGCCGCCGCCCGCCCTGCCGCTCCTCAAGGCTTCCTTTCCTCCCTTCGGCTCCCAGTACTGCCCTTCGCCCCTGGCTGCCCGGCAGTCTCCCGGAGGTTCGTCCGCCTCCAGCGGGGGCCACGTACCCGCCCTCTACCAGAGCGCCTACTCGCTGCCCGATCCCCGGCATTTCCACTGCATCTCCGTGGGTGAGTAGTTTGGGGACACGGGGCAGGCTGGGAAGGGACAGATCCTCTTGTTCGTAACTCTCCCGAGGCTTTTCGGCAGGACCGATTCTCGCTCTTCGGTGGCTGGGAAAATCGTTTTCACTTCTCTAAATGCAACAGGCGCTTGGTTTGGCAGCCGGGTACGGTGGGTTCCCGCCATACACTTCCGAATGAAAGCGATTTCAGAATAGATGTATGGAGAATGAAGTCTTTTTTAGAAAAAATCCGGGGGAGAGGAGCGCGGGAGCAAACTGAGCAGAAGCTCCTTCTTGCCCAACATTTGGAAAACAGAGATCTTAAAGAAAGTGATCTCAGCAGATGGGAGCCCCAGCTGACACGCGATGGGTTCGGAAGTAGAGTGAGACGTGGTTGATATTCGATCAGCAGGAATTCCGGGGCTGTAGGCTAGAACAAAAAGTCTGAAAGCATCTTGGAAAGGCAGCGGCCAATCACTTCTGTACTGTTGCCCCCAAACCATGGACACGTCCATAAATTGCCTAGGGGGTCGAGTTCGATTCGAGGGAGCCTTTGCCCGTCCGTTCCCTAGGGGAAAATTCAGCTGAAGACGGGGGTAATTTGACCTCCCGACCAAAGTCCTTACTTTCGCAGTCCACGAGATTAGAGGGATGGACTGTCGCACTGGGTGGCATATCTAAGTGGCAGTCCAGTCCTTAAAACGAAGTCCGGACTGCGGAAGAGAGAGCTGAATCCAAACAGAGGTGTTGAGAATTCAGGGAATTGATGGATGCCTGCACAGAGAACGGTGCCTGGCACTTAAGGGTTAGCTCAGATCTGCTGTCTTCCAGGGACTGCTTTCAAGAGGGGGAGATTCTAGATTTAGCACTTTCCAGCCTGCTATCCCGAGAAGCAGTCTTGCATAACCTCTAAGGAGCGCTGTGGTTTGGTCTATCAATCCAAGGGTATTTACAAGGAACCCTCACAGGTTGAAAGAAGTCAATCTCTCCTGACCTCTGTAGAGACTCTCAGTCATCCAGGTGGTCCCAAAGGTGTTTTTTTTCACGAAGCAACTGGACTTTCTTGTTTTTGTTTTGAAGACGTTTCGCTTCTCATTCAAGAAGCTTCTTCGGCTATCCACTATCCTGTCAAGCTGAAGAAGTTTCTTGGATGAGAAGCGAAACGCCTTCAAAACAAGCAAACAAAAACAACAAATCCCAGTTGCCCCCTGAAAAAGCACCTTCGGGTATCCTGACCCTCCCCTCTTCCCCCCCCCATCCCGTAACTCGTAGATACATTTCTCGAGTAATGACTTTGAGCCCAGTGAGGAGCTCGTCGGGGTGAGGGGGATGCCCGACCACGATCCGCTGTAGGATCCTTTGTCATACCCAGCCTGCAGGTTAGAGGAATAATTCTTGATTACGTCGCTCCCGTAGTCTCAAACCCCGTCAAAACTGCATCTCAAGCGCGCTTGGGTTTATAATTGCCCTCTTGGCTAACCGCAGTAAGGATTTCTAGCATGATCTCTATACAGAAGTCTGGCTCTGGTGATGTAAAAGTCATCCGCACTAAGCTTCCCTGCGCGCCGGTGTCCTTTGGGGAAGGGTTGGCTTGCCCGCGGGGCCAAATGGGCTTGGAACCTGCCTTGACTTTCCTCTTTGCCTCCCCGCAGACAGCACGTCGGGCCAGCTGCCGAGCAGCAAGCGGATGCGCACCGCCTTCACCAGCACGCAGCTGCTGGAGCTGGAGCGGGAGTTCGCCTCCAACATGTACCTGTCGCGTCTGAGACGCATCGAGATCGCCACCTACCTCAACCTCTCCGAGAAGCAGGTGAAGATCTGGTTCCAGAACCGGCGCGTCAAGCACAAGAAGGAAGGCAAGGGGGGCTCCCATCGCGCTGGGGGACCGGCCGCCCCCGGCTGTAAGTGCGCCTCCCTCTCAGCTGTGGCCAAGTGCTCCGAAGACGAGGAGGACTCGCCTATGTCCCCGTCTTCCTCGGGCAAGGACGAGAGGGAACTCGCCGTCACTCCCTAAAGTGTGGCCCCTCCGCCATCCGGGCGACATAGTTCCCCCGGGGCCCGTCCGGTCTCCGGCAGATGGAATGGACAAGGGCGCTCTATAGAGCCGGTGTAAATAGCCCCGCGGCCCCTGCTCGCTACGAGCGCGCTCTGTTCTCGAGCTGTCGGTTAAGGGGAGCATCGTATGTTCCCTTTCCGTGGCAGCTTTTCTTCCTTGAGATTAACGACACTGTAATTATGGAGGCTGACACAACGCCGATCTCCCTCTTTCTTTGAAGGGTAAAGGAAGGGGCAAGGCCAGCCTGGTTTCTCTCTGTCGGTGTCTGGGGGATCCCCACGGCTTGGTTATCTCCGAGCCTGGCATCTTTCTCTCTCTCTCTCTCTCTCTCTCTCTCTTTCTCCTCTCCCCTCCTTCCCTTTGGGTTCTTTCTGGGTGTAAAATCAGGTTTTCTTTAGAAGCAGGAAGGCATTTCAGTAGGAAGGCTGGGTCAGACTGCAACGGGTTTAACTTGTTGTGGGTTTCTTTTCTGTTTTGTTTTGCTTTTTTTTTTTCTTCTCCCTTAAGTCAATGTGATGATACTTCTTGAAATATATAAATGGTACGGCTGTATTGTTTTCTGAAAAAAAAATAAATCAGGAGATATTTATTTATTTATTTATGTAAAGAAGCTGAAGCAAAAATAAAGTTTTTTTTTAAAAAATAGAAATATATCTATATATACATATACACTGAAGGTCTGGTTATGCTTTGGCTTTGCAGAATATACCGGCGCTATCCCCCTTGGATGACTCCCACTAATTTCAGTGGGAAAGCTTGCCACACTTTTGACTTACCAGAATCAGAAAGTTTTATTTCATAACTCGATGTTAAGTAATATGGTACTCAATTCAACTGTCCCTGGATTGGTTTTATTGGGAATGGTAACACTTCTCCACTCAAAACTGTGTGATGTATTATCTGCTTCCTTGGCTTGGCTTGGATCCATTGCGCAGCATTGCTCAAGAGGTGGCCTCATTGGTGTTTACTTCTGAGTAGATATTTAGGGCAATGCTACCTCAGACAAGAACAGAAACATGATCTACCTTGCTGACAAAATTCAGTATATGTTGTATGGGATGACAAAGCAGGAGGAAAATGGTAGCACCCACAAATGTTATTAAAAGACATTTTATGCCTTTATGGAGCTCACAAAAAGCTTACGCGTGTGGATAAAATTTGTTAGCCCTGACACCTGAACCCTTCTGATTTCTTGCTACCATAAACTAACACAGTTCTCCTCCTAAGCTGTATAAGACCAATATCCAAATTACATCTGGATGCTTAACTTCGTCTTGCTGCTTTGTGGTGAATTAAAGAATGATAAATATGGTCCATATCATATACTGCAGTTATCAATCAGAGAATCCATACTCATCTCTGCTTTTTTCCCTTCTTTATCTAACACGAAGGTTAGCCAGATTAATAAATTCTACTATACAGAAGACAGCAAATCATCTGACCTGGCCCCTTCTTCTGTGCAAACCTCTACACAGTCTGATTCTATTTTTTTAAAAAATCATGTGTACAGAATTAACTTTAAGGAATGAAAAGAGTTACAGTGGTAATGCTAAAAAATGTGCAATGCACCACAAAGTACAATTTCCATTTCATACTCGCTGGCCCTGAACCACCTGGTTATTAATCCTTCTGGGACCACAACCGAGTGGGATTTACTTCTGGGTAAAGGTTTCCATGACTTTCAGTTTGCTTTAAGAGAGGACATATAAAGAACCACCACAAAAGTTCTTCTCCCTTCCCCTCCATGCATTCTGTTTGCAGGCCCCAGGAAAAGCAGTTCCTTTGGAAGAATACGAAGGAGATATAAACATTTGCAGGGTCACTTACAGTCTCTGCCCCCACACCCCCACCCCACCCCCAATGGCAAAACAGAAGCTACAATTATACTGGAGGCTTGCTTGTTAATGGCAGCCTTCATGCAACTGGCATGGAGCAACTGATTATTTGTGGGCACTTGAGCCAGGCTCTGCTCAATGTTTTCTCCTGTCAGAAATACATTTGGAAGGTTGAAGCTTGCACTAAAATGATCTGGGGTTTCCGTTCCAGCTTGACTGAGCTTTCCAGCCTGGATCCAGGCACACCCTTAGGAAACTTAAAGAGAGTAGACAACAGCATCTGAAATCAGACTTGGTGGCAATCATCATGCCAGACCAAACAATGGGGAGAAGGAGCTGAAGGTACACACTCTACATCCTGCTGTGCAAGATATGATCAGAATGGTCACTGAAGATGCCTCAGAGCATTTGATTGGCTGTTTCCTTGGATTGCTCTAGAGGAATATGGGCTTGAATCCTCAATGTGCACATACATTCTTCCTAGGATACTTTTTGTATGGGTTTGCCTTTGAGTTAGACTCAAAATTGAGTTGACTCCTATATGGACAAGTGCATGTAGTTTTCTTGGCAAGATTTCTGGAAGTGGCTTGTCCTTGCCTTCTTCCTAGAGGTTGAGAGAAAGTTAATGGTCCAAGATAACCCAACTGGCTTTATACATAAGCAGGACTAGAACTCAGTTTCCCATTTTCTAGCTAGGTGCCTTAATGTACTCAGCTAGAAAATGGGAAACAGTGAGTTCTAGTCCTGCCTTAGGTACAAAGACTTATGACTTATGATCACAAAAGGAAGTGGCGTTTCAGTTGCTAAGTGATCATTAAGCAGGTCATGATGTGACTGAACCCAATTTAAAGAGCCTTGGTGGTGCAGCGGACTAAGTGCTGTTATGTAGCACTTAGCTGCCAGCTAAGTTGGGTGCATAAGTGCATTGTAAGCCACCCTGAGTCTTCGGAGGAGGGTGGCATATAAATTGAACTAATAATAAATAAATAAATAAATAAATAAATAAATAAATAAATAAATAAATAAATAAATTTTACCAACATTTTTAGCTCTGCCATTAAGTGAACCACACGGTTATGAAATAAATCCAGCTTCCCCAACTGACTTGATATGCACCAAGACGCAAATTCCTTGTATGTCCAATCACACTTGGCCAATAAAAAATTCTATTCTATTCTATTCTATTCTATTCTATTCTATTCTATTCTATTCTATTCTATTCTATTCCATTCCATTCCATTCCATTCCATTCCATTCCATTCCATTCTATTCTATTCTATTCTGACTTTGTTTGATAGAAACCAGCTCTGCTTGATAGAAGAGCTCTGGTGGCTCAGCAGACTAAAGAACTGTTATTAACATCCACTTACATCTGCTGCTTGCAATTACTGCAAGTTCAAATCTCACCAGGCTCAAGGTTGACTCAGCCTTCCATTCTTTCTAAGGTAGGTAAATTGAGGACCCAGATTATGGGGGCAATAAGCTGACTTTGTATAAATATATAAAAGTATAAAGGCTATTGCTTAACGCATTGTAAGCCACCCTGAGTCTCCGGAGAAGGGCGGCATATAAATAAAATTTAAATAAATAAATAAATAAAAACCAGCTGGGAAGCGGGGTGAATACATAGCACCAAAATGCTGCAACTGTTGTAAATACAAGGCAAGTGTCTGAATTGAAATCAGGGGACTGTGGTGCAATGATCCCTAACTTCAAGGATGGATCATAAGTCATTTTTTTTTGAAGGCCATTGTAACTTTGAACCATCATTAAATGAATACTCGTAAGTTGAAGGCACACTATCAGGCTGACTGCACATGAATACCCAAAATTGAATTATGTCAAGGATTATTTGATAAGGAACACAAAGATCTGGATGACCACAAAGGTAGCAGAGAGATATAAGTGCCACTGGATTCACTGGAGAAGAGCCTAATGCTGGGAAAGATTGAGGGCAAAAGAAGAAAGGGACTACAGAGATAGAAGTGGCTTGATGGAGTCACTGAAGCAGTAGGCGTGAGCTTTAAATGGACTCCAGAGGATGGTAGAGGACAGGAAGGCCTGGAGGAACATTGTCCATGGGGTCGCGATGGGTCTGACACGATTTCGCAACTAACAACAACATAGCTGCCACTGGCTTTGCTGCCATCTAGTGGTAGTGCAAAGTTTTGCAGCACTATTGGGTAGCTCCAAATTTTAGACCACAGGATCAAGTTTGGCCCATTATTGATTACTCTGCTCACAGAACATTCTTAGCTGAATCAGTTAAAAGCCTAGAAGCTGCATTGACACCCCCGATGGTAAGATTACTATTAAACAAGGTTTTTGTTGGTTGGTTTGCTTGACTGTTTTTGCAACTTAGTTGTGCAAGCCCATTTGTTGCTTTATAGCTCAATGCAGAGCCTAAATCCAGAACCCAGGACCTGTGTTGGGTGAATAGGCATGGGGTGGGCAACTATGGCCCCTGCAAGACCTCTGGACTTCAGAATTCCTGAGCCAGCCATGCAGGGAATTCTGGAAGTCGAAGTCCACAGGTTGCAAAAGAGCCAAGGTTGCCAACCCCTGCTTTAGACTTTTATGGCTCTCCGAAGCATCAGAAAGGATTTTTTTTTTAGTTTCCTAGCACTTTATGGAAACATCTGAGATACCTAGAATGCTCTGAGTCCTATTAGAGAGGCAGAGGTAGAAAGAGAACAAAATCTATGACATGGAAAAATGTATCAATAGGAGCAACCACATTCTTCATTTCCCCAACCTGGGAGCTGAAACGAAGTTAACTCCATGCCCATTCTGTAACGAGTACTAAGTGTCTGATATAGTTTTTCTTAGTTTATTTCGGTTTTGTTCCCTTCTGCTTCCTTTCAGGAAGATTAGCCCTAAGAAGTCAGGAGGCTTCTTAACGTTTGCCCCTTCTCTGGAAAGAGACCACCCTGTTATTAAGCTGGTTATTAAGACCAGCTGCCTGCAATTACTGCAGGTTCGAATCTCGCCAAGGCTCAAGGTTGACTCAGCCTTCCATCCTTTCTAAGGTAGGTAAATTGAGGACCCAGTTGTGGGGGCAATAAGCTGACTTTGTATAAATATACAAAAGGATGAAGGCTATTGCTTAGCGCATTGTAAGCTGCCCTGAGTCTCCGGAGAAGGGCGGCATATAAATCAAATTAAAAAATATATAAAAAAGAAATAGATACATGAGATGAGCCGTAGGATTGTATAAATAAATGGTTAATATGATTGTAGAAAGATACTGCTGAACTTCAATGAATGTATTAAGGTATAAGCAAGTAAATTTGTAAATAGTATGATTAAGGAAAATTGGTTAAATGGACATTAATCACTGATGCGAAGGTTTTCTAGAAGTTAGTCGATTGACTCTTTGTTAATGTATAAGTGTTTACATGTATTTGTGTTTTACGTTTGTTTATGTTAATAAAATTTAATTAAATATATATATATATATATAAAAAATAGGATGCGTGATGCCAGCCGACCTATTTGAGAAGTCCTTCTCCCCAATGCTTAGTCCAAACAAATGTGCCCGTGGCATCCCTGGCGCTGTCATTAGAGCGCAGACTTCTTTTAATTCGATTTTCAGCACCCCCTCCCCAGGCTTCGGTTAAAAACAAGCGGATCTGCCGCCGATCTCTCTTTCTGCAATTGAGAAAAGAAGAGCTTCTGCCTCAAAGGAAGACTCGCTCAGGGAAGACTA